CTCCAGCACAGTCTTGGGGTGCACAGGAGCACACAGGTTCCAACAAGGGGGTCAGGGAGTCAGGGCCCCTACTATCTCCAGGCTCTAAGATAGCTGGATTTTGGTGGGGGGTGGAAGTGGGGGAAGACAGATCCAGCAACTGGGATGGAATTCACTGCCACCCACCTGTGTGACATTGACTTAAATTAAACAGATCTAAGGCAGACACCAAGATGCTCTTTCGGGTAGTGCCGAGTTCATAGACAGGGCTCCTAACCCTTCTGCTTGTTAACCGGGATAATAATATCCCCAGTGGAAAATGGAAGTGTGCTTTGTAAACGGTCAAGTGTCAAGCAAACAAGAGGCGTGCTCTGGACTCCTCCATCCCGGGTCCCATGGGAAGAGGGTGCACAGAGCTGGGCCGACTCACAATGTTTCCCTCCAGATGGCAACAGACAGCCCGTCAGGCACTGTAGGAACAGCACAGGGCAGAACAGCCCGTCCGGGACACCCACCTCCCCACCCCCGGCTCACACTGGCCAAAGATCCAGACTGACAAATGACTCAGACACGCAAACACCCGGGCTAAGAGGAAACAAGGCATGGCCTGGAGGTTGCGGGGGGCAGAACTCACAAGGATGGGGTTTCCTCTTATGCCTGCCTCTCCACCCAGCCATGATCAGTGGCCTGAAATGGTGTCATGGACCCCCCTCCCATATTTAAGCACTTGCTGTATACCAAATTCTTACAGATACGTTTGTACTCTTCAATGGTTATGAAGATCGCTGTCTTCATAGGACGAAACCAGGGATTCTAGGGGTTAATTACTGTCGATGCCACTATACGTCGTTATTATTAGATAATCTGGCCAAACTCATACCCTAATCAATATCAGTCCCCATCACAACCACAACAATGACTGCCGACCCTTCCGAACCCAGTCCCAGCCTGGGGGGTTGCAGAAGCACCGCATTCCAGAATTTCAGCCTCCATCCCACAACGTCCAACGCACCCCTCGAAGCACAGCCTATCCTTCTTTTGGGCTGACTCTGTGTGATGAAGGCACACCCAGCAAATGGCCCAGACCCACAGGCATTCAATCTATTTTCGGCTGTAGCCCCTTTACCTGTGACACCTGTGCCCGCGCCAGACCCCTTTCTTTCCTGGCCGTCCGTCTGAGGGGTCCCTGGTGGCCTCTGGAAAGAGAGGAGCTTCAGAAGTCGCTTTCATTTTCCAGCTGAGGTGCTGGCTCTGGGCCGATGCTGCCGGGCACCCCACAATAGGTAGCCGCCCTCTCTGGCTCGGTCACCAGCACGAAGGCAGGGCCTCTCCTTTGGGGCTGCTTGTCACGGGTGCCCCTTGCCAGCCTCCAAGGACATCCCTCCTTCTCTGTCCCTCTGTCCCTCTGCCCTGTCCTCAAGCCTCGTCTCACTTTGAACCTCTGCATAGCAGGATCCAGATTCCCCTCCAAGTGCATCAGAACTAAGGCTAGCTCTGGCTGGGCACGGTGGCTCACGCCTGTAATCCCAGCATTTTTGGGAAGTCGAGGCGGGAGGATTACCTGAGGTCAGGAGTTCAAGACCAGCCTGGCTAAAACAGAGAAACCCCATCTCTACTAAAAATACAAAAATTAGCCGGGCGTGGTGGCACATGCCTGTCATCCCAGCTACTCAGGAGGCTGAGGCAGGAGAATTGCTTGAACCTGGGGGGCCGGAGGTTGCAGTGAGCCAAGATCGCGTCACTGCACTCCAGCCTGGGCAACAGAGAAGGACTCTCTCTCAAAAAACAAAACAAACAACCAAAGAAGAACTAAGGCGGGCTCATCTCACCAGTCCTCTTATGGTCTAAACCAGCGCTGTCCCCGTGGCAGCTGCTGGCCACGTGTGGCTAATGGAGCACTTGAAATGTGACAAGTCCAAACTGAGACGCACCCTCGATGCAAAATACACACCAGTTTTAAGACCTAGTGCAAAAAATAATGCAAAATATCTCAATATTTTTTATTTTGATTACATGTTGAAAAGGATTATACTTTAGATATGTTGTGTTAAATATATTACTAAGAATAGTTTTACTTATGTTTTCTTTTATTTCATATGGCTACTAGTAAATTTAAGATCATAGGAGGGGATGGACGCAGTGACTCACACCTGTAATCCCAGCATGTTGGGAGGCCAAGGCAGGCGGACCACCTGAGGTCAGGAGTTTGAGACCAGCCTGGCCAACATGGTGAAATCCCATCTCTACTAAAAATACAAAAATTAGCTGGGCGTGGTGGTGGGTGCCTGTAATCCCAGCTACTTGAGAGGCTGAGGCGGGAGAATCCCTTGAGCCCGGAAGGCGGAGATTGCAGTAAGCTGAGATCGTGCCACTGCACTCTAGCCTGGGCGACACAGCAAGACTCCGTCTCAAAAAAAAAAAGAAAAAAGAAATCTGAACTTTGTCTGGATAGCGACTGAGGGTGTCTGAGCAAAGCAATGACGTTCACAGAGCCATCCAGAGACTGGGAACTCTGTCCTTCCAAAATGGGTGCACCCACAGGAGCTGGAAGACAGAGATGGCCTGTGGGTGACTCATCTGGTTGCCCCTTGCTGGCACTGAGCCAGGCAACAAGTGGGCAAGGCTTGTCAACGATAACTGCAAGATCAGCGATCACCAGGCAGCCAGGTGCACCCGGTAGCCCTCTGTGGGCAATTCCGCATGTATGACCTTATTTAGTCATACAGGTAGGCAAGGAGGTGATATTAAGCAGTTGAGCACTGATGGGTCTTGAATGGACAAGTAAATGAATGAATGAATGAATGAATGAATGGTGGCCGATGACTGTCATCTCCAGTCCTTACTTTATGTATTGCATGCATCAGACTACACGGCGTTGTGTGTATGTTCGTGGAGCTCCTGCAGCGAGCAGAGGCTGCTAAGCAGGAGCAGCACACAGGCTGGGGGCAGGACACAGGGCCCCAGGCCTCGGGGGAGAGGTCTGTTCCAGCCACCTCAAGTCTATTCCTGCGAGTGCCCCTCCACACCCCTCCTGGATCCCCCCCCCACTGCAAGCTCTCTCCCACTGGCTCCGGACTCTCTCCCCGTCCTGGAATTAATAAAGACTCTGTGCAGACTGCGGTTTGCAAGTCTGAAAGCTGGTTCCTGCCCACGTCACTGCCTCGAGAGGAGAGGGGTCCAGCTCCCCACAGTACCCCCTGCCTTCCTCCTTCCCAGGAAGCGGAAGGCACGCAGATACAGCACTGACTTCCCCTCCCCTGCAGTAGGCACATCCCAGGCATCGGGCTTCAGACCCTGTCCCTGAGCAGCCCCTACCCCTACCCACAAAGAGTGGCTTGGGGGGGACTTTCACCCCAGCATAATCTCCATCAGCTTACCCTCAAAGTACCCCCAAATAAACACATACCATAAGTAAGAGCTGTACACTGGCTGTGTGTGCACATCTTCAAGATCATTCACAATTCTCCGGGCACGCCCCTACCTGCCAAAATTCCAGAGCTGCTCCCTCCAAAGACCCAGGGAAAGGGAAGGGTTTGTCCAGGGTCCCGGAGTGGCCCCATATAGACCGAAGCCTGATAGCTGTCCTAGAAGCAGAACACTTGCCGAGCAAGTGATGGCAATCGTGGTATTGACACCAGTCCTGGTACCAGCTGAACACAGAGCATTTTTGATCTAGCAGAAAAGCAGGACCGTGTTGTATTTGTCTTTGCGATAATCTCTTAGCTAGGAATACTGATCACCTGTAGACAGATGAGGAAACTGTCGCTCTGCGGAGAGATTATCCCACCAGAAAGGCTAGAGCCAGAAATTTACTTTTAGGTCCACCAATGCCTGCCTTTGACCAAGGCCAGCATTTGACCTTTCCACGCCGGGCCACCCCTGCTGGCACCCCAGACTGCCACAGTGCTCCTGCCTGCACAAGGGGCCTTTAACTCATCCCTTGGAGCCATCGTGGTGCAGAGAAAAGCCCACAGGGCATGTGGCTTCCATGCTGTCCCCTGACCGGCTGTGACCTAGGACAAGGGACAAGTTTCCCTCTCCTATTCTCTAGGTCTCACATTTCTTCTCCACTAGCAGTAGTGGGAAGTGAGGGCTGGGGGACATGACCCTCCCCTGTTCCATCCCACACTCCAAACCCAAAAATTCCCCAGAGTCCCCATCCAGCTCAGTCCTGGGGGCAGAAATGCAGAGTTCTCCAGGAATGTGGTCCCAGCTGTTTCAGTGCAGGCTGCCCCCTCCTGGCCAGCAGAGGAACGCCAGCCTTCCCAGAGGGGACCGGGAGAACAGCAGTCCAGAAGCTCCCAGGCTGGTCTGGGCGCTAGCTGCGCGCAGCGTGGGGATGGGAGGTGGCCCAGTGATAATGGGAAGCTGGGCTGCCTCTCAGTCTGCCGGGGCTCCCACCTCCCTGTTCCCCCACAGAGCACCTGGGGATCCAGGCTGATTTTTGCCAGACCCTGAGACCTGCTTGGGGCTGGGTATAGAGCTGTGAGCTTGACCCATGCAGAAGAGAACCCTGTGTGTCAGGATCCTCCATGTGCCCCAGATGCCCCTGGAGACAGCACCAACATGGCATTAATTCCCAGGCCATTCCCCTGCCTCTAGCCCCCTGGCCTCTGCAGGCATCCACCCCAGACCCGCCCAACACCTCCTCCCCAGCTTCAGGTGGGAGGCTGAGATCTTGGCCCCTGCAGAATGCAGCCCTGTCCAGGGTCCCCTACCTCCCCCCAGATCCCTCCCAGAGCCATACCAACCCAATCCTACCTTCCAGACCATTCAACCTGCAGCCCCCCGACCTCTACAGACATAGCACCCCCTGAGTCCCCAGAGCTGCCCAATAGCTCCCCTCCCCAGCTGTGGGCAGAACCTGTCTCTAGCCAGGCCTGGGGGTGTTGGGGAGTCTGGAGGGCCGGGGTGGGGGCTGAGGCGCGGGACAGCTGGCCCGTGTCCCCACACTGGGCCCGGGGCCCAGCCGGAGGGGCGGGGGCCTGGCCACTCGGGCCTTGGCTGGGGCTGGGATTTTTGGCCTGGCCGCCAGGCCCTCCCTCCTGCTTCCTCTCCCGAGGGCTGTCCTGGCAGAGGCCCCCCTCGCTCTTTCTGGCGGGAACAGGGCCAGCAGCGAAAGAACAGTCGCAGAGGGAAAGCGGGAAAGAGATGGGGGAAAGTGTGTGTGTGTGAGTGTGCGCTTGTGTGCATGTGTGTGCGTGTGTGTGTCAAGGAAAAAAGCTCGCAGTCCAGCAGCCCGGGCCTGGGAGGCTTGTGAGCTGGGCCTTTCGTAATTGTCCCCTCCCCGCGGCCCCCTCCCCCAGGCCTCCCCCCTCTCCTGCCCTCCCGCCCGCCCTCTCTCCCTCCCTCCTTCCCTCGCAGCCGACGAGGCAGCAATTAGGCTTGGGGGATAAAACGAGGTGCGGAGAGCGGGCTGGGGCATTTCTCCCCGAGATGGCGGGTCTGACGGCGGCGGCCCCGCGGCCCGGAGTCCTCCTGCTCCTGCTGTCCATCCTCCACCCCTCTCGGCCTGGAGGTAAGGGCCCCTCGCCCCTGTCCGCAGCGGGCCCTTTGGGCCAGGTGACTGGACGCACAAGGGGGAGACCTTCATCCCTGGGAACTCCAAGGGGTCCCAGGTGGGAGCCCCTCAGCCACTGGGTCCTTGGAACTGCCCCTCCCAGGAGCCAGCCGTGTGCCCAGGAGGAACCTGTCAAACAGACACCCTCAGAATAGTCCCAACCCGGCATCCAGCTTTGCTGCCCTGCGAGGCTGAGGGGGCCCCTACTCAGATGCCCGGGTGCCCGCCCCGTAGGGGGATCAGAGCATCCTGGGGGAGGGCCCAGCAGGAACCCCTGGGTCTGGAGACATCACAGTCTGCACACCTGTGAACACAGCTGGGGTGCACACCAGCCCTGGGGACAGGGAACCTGGGCTGATGCCAGCTCAACCGCAGTGAGCTGTGTGACCTCAGCAGGTTCCTTGATCCCTGGGAAGTCGGGATCCCCCGTGAGGAAGGCCAGGGCTCCGCTTAGGATGGGTTTGCAGGTTGGGAAGCTGCTGCTGTGTTCTCCCTGCTGAGGCGGGCGGGGACTCCTGGTATGCATTTGTGTGTGTGTGTGTGTGTGTGTGTGTGTGTGTGTGTGCAGGAACGAGCGTGCTGTGTGCTCATATATGTATATGTGCATGCACAGGTGTGCACGTGTGCAGATGCCCGGCTGTGTCACTGAACAGGGGAAGGGATTTCTGGAAAGGTACATATGTCTGCTCACAGGTTCATCCTTAGACAGGGGTATGCGTATATTTGGAGGAGGTATATGGAGCCGCTCCTTAGTATGTGCAAAAGTCTGCCACCTGACAGACATGTACACATGTAGACACGGGCGATCTGGCATCCAGGTGTGGTACTGGTGTGGACTGTCACTGTGTGTGTTACGGAGTGGGTGCATCCGTGTGTGTGAATGTGTGAGCGATGTGGCATGCAAGCGTGGAAAGGCGGGCTGGAGAAGGTGTCTGTCTCCTGGCAGAGGCAGGGTGGCTGTGACAGAGGCTGGAGTGGATCCTGGGGCACTGCTGGGCCATCTGCTGTGTGCCCCAACCCAGGCACAGTTGGTTATGGGGTTTGAGGGTGCCCCCTGTGGGGCTGCTGTGCCGCGGCCAACGGGGGAGCACTGAAGATGCTCCCCTGGCATGGGAAAAAGGAGGGCATTTGGTAGGGGTGCCTGGGTGGGGTCTGGTTTCCTTGGGAGTCCTCCTTGCCATGAGAACCAGGCATCGAGTGGGGGGCAGGAGGGCCACAGGGCGGAGTCAGGGGCCGGGGCAGGAGCTGCAGCTGTTTCCGTGAGATTGAACAGCTTCCCGTGCAGTGTCCGCTGCTGGACCTGGACGGGGCCAAGGGACGTGGGTACCCACAGGCGGGGCCCAGCAGGGGCAACGAGCCAGGGCCTGAAAGTGGCAACCCCGGGTCCATCTCAGCCTTCTCCCCAGGTGTAGCCCCCAAACACCCAGCCACCCTCCTTCCCAGATGGGGCCACCCCCTATAGGGCGGCAGCTCATCATCAAGGAACCTTGAGAATTAGAAATTATTATCATCACTTGACAAACAAGGAAACTGAGGCTCCGGCAGGCTAAGGTAGTCCCTGGGGGTCAGTATCAGCCAACTCTCTGCCCCAGGTCAAAGGGCGAGAGGGTTAGGAGTGAGCTAGCAGGCAACATTTGGGGAGGGGAAGGCTTGGGGCTGAGTCCTTTAAAGCGACCGTGACCTAGGCAGAATCAGCTCTCTCCTTGTGTCCTCAGTGACACTGCTAAACGCCCAGCTGGCCTCGCACTTTGCAGAGATCAATCTCAGCTCTGTCCCAGGTGGCTGGACTTGCTAGGTCCAAATAAGGGGTGTGTGAACTGATGAGCTCTTGTGGGGTTTTGCACAGAAGTGCTACTGAAGTCTGCAGAGGTCGGTGAGCCAACACGAGGAGTGAGGCGCTCGGTCACACGCTCACTGCCACTCACCTGGCTGTCCTGGGGGACCCTGGCTTCTCCCTCAAGGAGGAGGGTGTCACTTACGCAAGTTCAGCGGCTCCAAGGAAGGGACCCTGTTGCGGGAGTGGGGGAGCAGGAGGAGGGGACAAGCGGCCCAGCCCCCAGGCTGTTTCAAAAGTGACCATGAGAAATTAACCCAGGGATAATTCTTTCCCATCCCCCAGAAATAGTATCAGGAATTTGGTTTTTGGTTTTGGTTTTGTTTTCCCTGATTTCCGAACTGAAGATGGTTTGGAACAGAGCTTTCCTTTTCTTTTATTTTTCTTTTTTCTTTTTCTTTTTTACTTTTTTTATTTTTTTAAACTGAGATAGGGTCTCGCTGTGTTGTCCAAGCTGGTCTGAATTCCTGGGCTCAAGTGATCCTCCCACCTCGGCCTCCCAAAGTGCTTGGATTACAGGCATGAACCACTGCCTCTTTTTAAATATTTTTTTAATTATTTTTTTCCCGTCCTTACGCAGGAACAGGGGTTTTCAACCTGGCTATCTATTAGACTTCCCACCCAAAAATCCCTGCTTGCTTCGGTTGGGGAGGGACCTGGACACAGACTTTTCAAGCTCCCCAGGTGACGATGGGTCGCCAGAGCCAAGAAGCACTGGTTTAGAGGTTGATTCCGCTCCGTGTGTCTGCTGAGGCCCTGGCATGAGGGCAAATGTGCCCTGTGTGGGAGGGGACACAGTCACCCAGTGGAGGACAGCTTGTTTTTGAAAACCCTTGGCAGCCTTCTGCATGCAAACAACAAACAGCTTGGTGTGGTCTTATCTGCTCCCCAAGTCAGTCCCCTGGACTTTGGTTTGGCAAAGCCCCCTGCCAAGGCCGGCTGGCCCCAGGCTCGCTCCCAAACAGGCTGCTTCCAACTCTTTGAACCTGGAGCCCAGGGCCCAGGCAAATGGCCCTACGTGTGACTTGGGGTCAGCTAGGGGTCCCAGACTAGGCACTTCAGCTCGCTGGTTCTCCGTTTCCCTGGCTGCAAAATGGAGAGAAACAGCCCTGCCTGAAGTATCTCCTAGAGCCAATGAGAGGTTCCAGCAATGTAATATCTGGGGAAAAAAATGCATCAAATAAAAGGACCGTGGGAATGGACATTTTTAAAATAATCTATTATCTTATTCAGAGTCTGCTAATTTGGGCTCATGGATCCTTGTAATTAGTGCACATTGCTAAGGTTTAATACTCCCTCTCGCTACTTACACCATGTTTTGTCTAGTGGAGAGGCAGCTAATGTGTAAATAGAGGTGCAATGATGAAAGAAGCAGACAGGACTGGGTTGGGGGTGGCCAGAAGGAGCCTTGGGAAATTCAGGAAGGCTTCCCGGCAGAAGTGACATTTGAGTTAGACCTAAGGAGAAAGGTAAATGGGGCCAGGTGCAGTGACTCATGCCTGTAATCCCAGCACTTTGGGAGGCCCACGTGGGCAGATTACTTGAGCCCAGGAGTTTGAGACCAGCTGGGCAACATAGGGAGGCCTCTATCTCTATTTAAAAAATAAATAAATGAACATTTAAAAATAAATAAATAAGAAAGAGAGGTAAATGTTGGAGGAGCTGTCCGTGGATGAGGGGTAAGTCCCAGACTACAGGCTCTGGCAGGCAGAACCGAAGAGACAGAAGAGCAGACTCTCAGTCGGAGGAAGTCCTGTCTGCAGTCAGTGCTGACAGTATCTGGAGGTGGTGATTTTCCTGTCATGGGAGGTATGCAAGCAGAACACGAAGGATGTTTGCGGAAGGAGGTCCAGCCCAGGCCAGAAGACTGTTATGATCCCTGAGAGTCTAGGATCGTGATTCTAAGATGCAAGAGACAAGTTCCACCCTGGGCTAGTCAGTGAAACATGCCAAAACCACATAAAACAAGACAAGTGTTCTCCAGGCCAACTGCTTAGGGCCAGCTGAGCAACACAGTCAGGGAGAGCCGTGGGCTCGGGAAAGGCAGGCAGGAGAGTCTGAGCTCAGCCCTGGTGCAGGGGTAGGGCTTGGACGGAGGCAAGGACATTCCTGGCAGGAGAAACGGCTTGTGCCAAGGAGTGGAGGGAGAAGTGAGGATGCCCTGTGGGGCCCGGGGAAGCGGCTGTTACCTTTTCAAAGCCCTTTCCAATTTCCAGCTGCTGTCTAATTTTATTCTCACCCCTCTCACTTGCAGAGAGGCAGGGATCCTTCGCAGCCCCTAAACCTTCTCCATTCCCTCATTGCAAAATGGGGATTAAAACCTCGGGCTCCCCAGGCTATCGCGGTTCAGGCGTGAAGTTTGGCAAACGCCACCATCATCAGGATCTGAATGGTGGGGGTGGACAGTGGGGACAGAGGAGATCTGGGGGAGGGGAAGCTAAGTCTTTCCCCCCAGAAAGTGCCTGGGGTGCAGGAGGGCAAAACCCCAGGAGAAAGGAAGTCGGGGTTCAGCCAGGCGCGGGGGCTCAACAAGCCCAAGGCAGGGGGACTCCCAGGGCAGACGGGGATGAAACAGGTTAGAGCCGGATTCACAGACAACCTCCCTGCCTCCCCTCTCCTTAATTCACCCATCATGTATTGAGTAACTACTGTATACCTGGCCCTGGACAACCGACTGTGCAGTGAAATGGGAAGAAAATGAAACGTAAGGGCCACTGTCTTTTTATTTTTGAGCAATTCCTGTGTGCCAGCTCCAGAAGAGGATATAGCCTGTTACTTGAACCCTTTTACAATTTGCAGCAACCTTGCAACCTTGCAGCAACCAAGTGATTATCTGCCCTGTGTCGCAGAAAAGGAAACTGATGTTCAGAGAGGTTGAGTGACTTGCCCAAGGTCACACAGATGGTAAGAAGCAGCGAAGCCAGAATTAGAAGCCAGAGGGGTGTGTTCTGAGCACTTTGCTCTTCCCCCCACCTCCACCACACTGTTCCCTGCAGTCTGCTCTGGAGCCGGAGAGTAGAGAGGAAGGGAGAGAGGGACATGAAGAAGGAGGGAGAGGGGGAGAAAGAGGAGGAAGGAGAGAGGCCAAGGCAGAGAAAGACACATAAGAGACTGTTAAGAGCTGGAGGCCGGAGCCAGGGAAGGCATCAGAGGCCCGAGGCGGGCCATGTGTGTGCTGGCAACGGATGACAGGACCCAAGTGCTCCTTCCCAGCAGGCCCAGCCCCCCTGGGGCCACCACTCCAACCCTTGAGGTTCTGACCAGATTACTCGCACACTTCAGGCCTGGATTGCAGTGCCTGAGGAGCCACAAGCCCTGAGAGGGGGTGGCGCCGGGGTCTTGGCACAGGCGGCTGTGACAGCTCCACAGCCCTGACCCTGCTGGGCTGCAGCTGAGGCTGACAGGGCCCTGGGGCCAGCAAGCCCAGCTGTGCAGCGTCGCCAGGCCTTGGAGGCCAGACGTCTGGCCGCAAGGCCTCCGTGAACACATTGCAGAGACACCATCCCCCAGCCACGCCCATGCCCCACGGGGCTCTCAGCTCCTTTCAGAAAAAGCAGTGAGGGAGGGCTGGGCTGGGGCTTTGGCAAGGTGGCTTGTCAAGCTCAGAGGGGGGCCTTCTGAGGTGGAGCCAAGGCCCCGGTTTGGGACCCTGTCTGTTGCCATGGTGATGGCTCAGGCAGGGTCTGGATCCAGCATCACAGCGTTCCCCAGTGAGAGCTTCACTGGTCCATGGGGACTGAACTCGTGATCCTGCCTGGCCGGTGAATTCGCTTTTCCTTAGGAAACTATTCACTGTGCTCATTCATGGCGTCCCCCTGCGGCCCCGGCGCCTCCTAAGACAGCCCGTGTCAGACGGCCAGAGCCCCACCCAAGCTCGGCTGCCCAGTGGCTGAGGACGCTGACCTCACGCCGTCCTATCAGTGTGGGAATGGCTGCATTTGTGCTGGCAGCTGCACCTCCTTAATGCTTGCTGTAGCAGCCCGGCCTGCCCTTCCCAAAGCTCTGGCCTCTACCCGGCAGCTCAGCTCAGGAAGAGAGTGGGCTGCCTGGTGAGAGGTGCTCAGACCCAGTGTTTTCCACCCCAGGCCCTCTCCCTGACTGCAGGGAGAACCAGGTAACACAGCAAGAACCATCATACTCCAAGGACTGGCAGCAGGGCACAGGGGCCTGTCATCCCAGCACTTTGGGAGGCCAAGGCAGGAGGATCACTTGAGCCCAGGAGTTCCAGACCAGCCTGGGCAACATACTGACACCTTGTCTTTACAAAAAAATGAATTAGCCAGGCATGGGGGTGCATGCCTATAGTCCCAGCTACTTGGGAGGCTGAGGCAGGAGAATCGCTTGAACCTGGGAGGAGGAAGTTGCAGTGAGCCGAGATCGTGCCACTGCACTCCAGCCTGGGTGACACAGCAAGACTCTGTCTCGAAAATAAAGGACTGGCCTGAGCTCGAATCCAGGCTCCGTCTCTTTCCAGCTGTGTGGCCCCAGGCATGTCCCTTAACCTCTCTGAACCTGATTTCACGTCTGTTAAAATGATAGTCTCTGGGAGTTGTGGCTCACACCTGTAATCCCAGCACTTTGGGAGGCCGAGGCAGGCAGATCACTTGAGGTCAGGGGTTCAAAACCAGCCTGCCCAACATAGTGAAACCCTATCTCTACTAAAAATACAGAAATTAGCTGTGCGTGGTGGCATGCATCTGTAATCCCAGCTACTCAGGAGGCTGAGGCAGGAGAATCGCTTGAACCGGGGAGGCGGAGGTTGCAGTGCGCTGAGATCCCGCCACGCTCTGCAGCCTGGGTAACAGGCCGAGACTGTCTGTCCCAAACAAAACAAAATGATGACAGTAAGCCCTGCCCTTCCAACTTCACGGGCCGATTTCAAAGAGCAAGAATGAGAACACACTTTGTAAACACAAAGTATACACTTTGTAAATTGCTCTGGAGACAAGCAATGTCATTATTGCCATCAGCATCATTCTTGTTTCCATGTAATTCTGGGTTTTGCCATTGAAAGTAATGGCAAAAACCACAGTTACTTTTGCACCAACCTAATAGTTCTGGCTCCTGGAGGACTGACTCTACCTGTTTCCTTCCAGGAGTCCCTGGGGCCATTCCTGGTGGAGTTCCTGGAGGAGTCTATTATCCAGGTAATGTACATGAAACTTCCACACACCCAAGTCATGCAGATGATGGTGATGTCCGTAATAGATGCACACTTTGACACTACAGAAGGTAGGAACATTGACACACCTACCGGAAGTCATGCCCACTTAAAATGCAATTAACAAGACACTGATTTACAGCTATTAAGAGCATACAGGCTGGACACGGTGGCTCACGCCTGTAATCTCAGCACTCTGGGAGGCAGAGAAAGGAGACTGCTTGAGGCCAGGAGTTTGAGACCAGCCTGAACAACATGGGGAGATCCCCCTCTCTACACACACACACACACGAAAATTAAAAATTTTAGCCATGTTCTATGTTGAGAAAAATGAAAATGCAGTATAGAAATTAAAAAAAAGAATTAGCTGGGCATGGTGGTGCATGCCTGTAGTCCTAGCTACTGGGGAGGCTGAGGCAGGAGGATCACTTGAGCCTAGGAGTTCAAGGCTGTGGTGAGCTATGATTGCACCACTGCACTGAAGTCTGGGTGACAGAGTAAAACCCTGTCTCTAAAAAGGAAAAGAAAAAAAAGAAAAGATAAATCGAAAGTAATACTTTCAATACTTAAAAAGTATTTGAGTGTACAGAAGTGACATGGAAGTGGGGAGAGACACCAGCACTCCCCCAGATACAAACTGGCACTGGACTGCTGGCCAAGCAGAAGAGAAAACTGAGGCTTGCAGAGGACAGGGCTTGCCCAAGGTCCCGTGTTAGGCAGGGGTGGATTCACCCATAGCTGGGGGTGGCAGCCGGCTTGCCTGGCAGGAATACTGATGCTCTCTCTCTCTCCCCGCCCACAGGGGCTGGTCTCGGAGGCCTTGGAGGAGGAGGTGAGCTCAGAAACCACACTTGTTCCTCACTGAAGGGGCCTGGGTTTCACCCGAGCCACACACATCCTCAGACCTGATAACCATAGGAGACCCAAGCATCGAGGACTCCCTCATTTCACAGACAGCGTCCAGGCGGGGGGAAGAGGCTTCCTTGAGAACCAGAACCCATTGGCCTTCCCAGTGCCTGCCCTAGACTTTATCCCTGGTGCTCTCTACCTTCCTTTCTTTTTTTTTTTTTTTTTTTCTGGAGGAGGGTAGGGCCGGGGGAGGGACAGAGTCTCATTCTGTCGCCCAGGCTGGAGTGCAGTGGCATGATCTAAGCTCACTGCAGCCTCTGCCTCCCAGGTTCAAGTGATTCTCCTCCCTCAGCCTCCCAATTAGCCAGGACTACAGGCGTGTGCCACCACGCCCAGCTTATTTTTGTATTTTTTCTAGAGACAGGGTTTCTTTTTTTTTTTTTTTTCTTTTGAGACGGAGTCTCACTCTGTCGCCCAGGCTGGAGCGTAGTGGCGCGATCTCTATAGCCTCGACCTCCTTGGCTCAAGCGATTCTCCCACCCCAGCCTCCCAAGTAGCAGGGACTACAGGTGCCCGCCACCACGCCCAGCTAACTTTTTGTCTTTTTTAGTAGAGAAGGGGTTTCACCGTGTTAGCCAGGATGGTATCGATCTCCTGACCTCGTGATCCACCCTCCTCGGCCTCCCAAAGTTCTGGGATTACAGGCGTGAGCCACCGCGCCCTGCCGATACAGGGTTTCATCATGTTGGCCAGGCTGGTCTCAAACTCCCAACCTCAAGCAATCTGCCTGCCTCGGCCTCTCAAAGTGCTGGGTTTATAGGCGTGAACCACCTTGCCCAGCCCCTTCCTATTTCTTTTGATCCTCAAAACCCTCCCTGCCAAGCCAGCTGAACAGGCACCATCATCCTTTTTTTTTGTTTTGAGACAAAGTCTTGCTCTTGTCACCCAGGCTGGAGTGCAGTGGAGCGATCTTGGCTCACTGCAACCTCCACCTCCCAGGTTCAGGTGATTCTCCTGCCTCAGCCTCCCGAGTAGCTGGGATTACAGGCACATGCCACCACGCCCGGCTAATTTTTATATTTTTAGTAGAGCAGGGTTTCACCATGTTGGCCAGGCTGGTCTCAAACTCCTGACCTCAGATGATCCGCCTGCCTCAGCCTCCCAAAGTGCTGGGATTACAGGCATGAGCCACCGCGCCCGGCCCATCATCCCATTTTGAGGCTGAGACTCTGGGGCTCAAAGAGTATAAACCATGAGTTAGAAGTAGAGCTAGGTTCCCAGGGGCTCCGTGTCTGAAGGGGAGGACCTGGGGCGTGAGATTCCACACTGCCCACACTTTCCCTGGGACGGGGGTTGGATAAGTAGTAGATGGATGAGCTGGGCACCCCCGTTCACTATCTTCTCGTCCATCTGCAGCGCTGGGGCCTGGAGGCAAACCTCTCAAGCCAGGTAAGACCCAAGGCCTCCGAGCACTGAGAGAGAGCGAGGGGGCTGGGGAGGGAGGAACCTACCCAACTGGGAAAGGGACAAGGAAGGTGGGAACAGGACAAGGAAGCCAACGGGCAGGAGGAAGGAGGGAGGTGTGGACACCGATTAGCCTCCCAAGGATGCGTAGGCCTGGGCCAGGTCCCAGGGCTTCCAGGAACAGGAGGCTGCAAGCAGCTCCACGTCCTCCCTGTGTGAGGGCGTCTAGCATCTACCCTACACGTGCTTGTGTGTGCACCCAGCTGTCCAGAAACTCCTCTCTGCAAAGGAGAGGCTGTCTCAGAGCCTCGGCACTAGAGGCAACGTCAGGGATTGCTCCAGTTCCAGTGGCCTCCAAGCCTTACATGACCCTTGGGAGCTCAGCCCCAGATCCTCAGCCCCAGACTTCCCCTGAGTGATCTCCTAGCCCTTGACCCCAGATCGCCCTGACCTTGATGCCATTCTGAGCCCTTCTCCTGACTCCAGACAGAGCACCGGTCTCAAGCTGAAGCTTAACCCCAGTCCAAGCCCTGAGCCTAACCCCAGGCTGAACCCTGACCCTGCTGGCCCTGCTGACCCTGGTCCCACAGGACCCCCAATCCTGGCCTCAGGCCAAGCCCTGACCCCAAGCCCAAGCTGAGCACAACCCTGGTCCCGGATAAGCTCCCCTCCTAATCTCAGGCCCCTTCCAGCTGTGTCCAGACCATGGAGTTTTCCAGTAAGAAGGTGTGGCCGGATCTATCCTGGCCTCACCCAAGGGATTGGGATCTGCCACGAGGGTCCACTCTCAGCTCTGGGGAATGCACCCCCAGGAAGGAGGGCGGGGCAGGTCCCTCCGGGAAATACTGGCGGATAAGGAGCAGGTGGAGGAAACAGCGTCTCTCTCCAGATTGATGGCCCCTCGGCATGAGACGCTCCACATGTGACTTTGGCCGCCCCACACCCTGAGCTGTGTTGCCCTGGCTCAGAAGCCCAAGTCTCCAAGACACAGTTTAGATGTCCAAGAGCTCTTATGAAATCCTGATCGTTGATAATCCAAGTGCAAATGAATCTTCAAGACCCAGATTCCCCTGCGCTGAAAGTCCATCTGGGTTGTGAAACACCGGGGCTGGGTCCAGGAGAGGCGGGAGAGTGGGGTGCCTGGGGTCTACAGGGCTCTGCAAGGCCAGGAGACCCTGGGGGCTTGCCACTTATCCCTGCCAGCACCTATACCCTGTCCTCCTGGAGTGGGTGAGAGTTCTTAGCAGGGTCTTTGATGGTGGAGAGAGGACAGGGGAGATGATAGTGGCACAGAGGTGCGGAGGTAGGTCTGTGCTTGGCATAGAAGACCCAAATTGAGGAGGCTGTGCCTGCAAAGCTGGAAGGTACATTCATTGATCCCACTAGCAGCAAGAGACACAGAGCAGGTTGTGGTTAAACACCGGAGGAAAGACAGACAACTCCCTGTGGAGTTCCAGGATGTGTAGTTGCGAAAGTGAAGCTTTTGTTAATGAAAGATTTAGGTTAGACTTCTGAAAGAACTTCCAGCTCAGGGTGAAGGAGTCAGTCCAAACTAAAGTCACAGCATCTCCTTCTGATAAAAAGGGCGCTGTTTCCAGGCAAGGGGCTGGATTCCATGACCTCCCCGAAGACTCAGGGCTACAAACGGGTTGGCAGAGCCCCCATGGCACCCCCAGGGAAGCCCCCACATCCGGGCTGCCTGGACGTCCGGGCCTGCCCAGGCAGAATGGAATGGGGCACAGGCAGCGCGTGTCATGCCTGGGAACAATTAATCCCTTGGTGACAGAGGGTGGGTGGCCTGGCAGCTGCTTTTCCACGTGGGCGCCACCGCGGGTCCAAGCTGGCCCCGCCCTGCCTCAGCTCTCAGCGGGGGACCGGGCAGCAGGGAGTCTGCAGGCCCCACACCCTGAGCACTAGCCAGAGGCCAGTCGCCCACTGAGAGGGTCACAGGCAAGGACAAGAAGGACCTGGGAGCACCCACTGTGCGCCCTGGGTAGGTTGCACACACTAGGTGCTTTCTGCACACATACTCACTGGTCCCAGGAAGGCAGGCGATATAATGGCCATTTTGTAGATGGTGAAAACTGAGCCTGATCGGAGAGGCAAATTAACCTGCTTGTGCTCATGGAGGCTGGGTAGCAGCAGCAGGGTCTGAATCTAGAACTCTCTGATTCCAGAAAGAAAGGAGGATGGGGCTGGCCAGGTCCCTGGACTCCCAGCTGTGGTCAGCCCGTCCCCACTTTCTCCTCCTTTCCGGGTGCTGGAATCCTTGGGGCATTTGGGGCAGGTGAGTGCAAAGGAAGGAGGGCAGGCAGAGGCAGAAGTGGTCAGGCCACAGGACAGGACGTTCAGGCTGGGATCATGGGAAAAAGGAAGATGGCTCCAGAGAAGCCACCTGTCCCCCACTGCAGTCCCAGCCTCTTCTCACTTCCTGTGCAGTCCTCAGCTTCCGCTGTCAGTCCCTCTGTGGACAGGTCTGAGCATGTCCCTTGCCCTCTCAGAGCTCAGGAAACAGGCCTGGCTTGAGAGAAGCGACTGCCAGAGCTGGTGGGGCAGGGCCCGAGTGCTGGGAAGTGACTTCTGCCTGATCACCAGGCGCTCCCGCCCAGAGGCAGAGACGCTTCTTACATGAGGCTGGCTGAGTTTCAGAGGGGTCCAGGTCCCACTAGTAGGAAATGAGGGACGAGGAGTGGTTAGTAACAGAGACCACACCCAGGGAAAGCCAAGGGGGACCTATCCAGGGTACAGCGGGTTCCATGTTTGGGATCCATCCCCGGAGAGGACTCGCCCCTGGGGCTCAGGACTGGCACTTGTAGGAGAGATCGTCACATAATTAGAAACAAACCTGGCACGGTTGTGAACTCCGACCTGATGGCCCATTGGTCCTGGCCAAGGCAATGGAATGTCTCCCGGCGCGGGAGACGAAGCGATTGGGCCCAGATGTGAGGAGGAGACAGCCAGAGGGACCCATTTGATGTCTCATAAACATCTTAGCAAGGAGGCTCCTGGGCTGCAGGGCAGGCTGGATGGAAGGACAGATGGGTAGTGGGGACACAGGAGTTCCCCAATGTAGGTGAAGGGGAGGGGACTGAGTCAAGAGATATCTGCAAGGAAGCAGAAGACAGATCTCACTGGCCTGGGTGAGGTCTCGTTCACGGACTCTGCTCTGTCCCAGCCCTTGCCGAAAGCCCTGCTGAATCCTGTTAGCCAGCAGGACTTCTAGGAGAAGCACAGGGCTGGCCCAGGCTTGTTAGGGATCGGTGCAATGACACCTGCATTGCGCATAGTAGTCGCTCACTAAACTACTGGTGAATGCTATTTTATCAGGATCGACCCTGAGCATCACAGGCTTAGGGACCAGCCCAGGGACCTGAGTGGCTGATCACAGTATTGCCCTAACTCCATGAGACCCTTCCCACTCTGGGCCTCGGAATGCTGCCTATACACCTGTCTCTGTTTTCCTATCCACAGGTCCCGGAGGGCTTGCGGGCACTGGCCTTGGGGCAGGTGAGTACTGACACCCAAACAAGATGCCCTTTGTGGGGACCAGACCCTGAGCTCAACCCAGGGCTGGTATGGAGCACAGTCATGGAACAAGGGTACAGGCCAGGTTCCGTCCTGGGCACTGATGGGGACTGATGCTGATACCACCTGCCCCAAGCAGCTGCCCAGGACATGAGGAAATGGCAGCTGAGTACCTGGGTTCCTTTATAACATAGTAGTGAAGGCTGCATGGAGGAAGCCCCACGGACCAAGGAAGCCCAGGGGAGTCACTTAACTCAGCAGGGGTTCAGGAAGGCATTCTAGAGGAGGCGGGTGGGGAAATTTGACCCCAAAAGATCCATGCAGTTTTCAGGAAGGCTGAAGTGAGAGGATCACTGGAGCCCAGGAGGCTAAGGCTTCAGAGAACTATGATCATGTCACTGCACTCCAGCCTGGGTGACAGAGAAAGACTTCATCTCTTTTGTTGTTGTTGTTGTTGTTGAGACAGAGTCTCACTCTGTCACCCAGGCTGGAGTGCACTGGCTCGATCTCAGCTCACCACAACCTCCGCCTCGGGTTCAAGTGATTCTTGTGTCTCAGCCTCCCAAATAGCTGGGATTACAGGCGTGCACCACCACGCTCGGCTAATTTTTGTATTCTTAGTAGAGACAGGGTTCCCCGTGTTGGCTAGGCTGGTCTCGAACTTCTGGCCTCAAGTGATCCACTCACCTTGGCCTCCCAAAGTGCTGGGATTACAGTCTCAAGCCACCGTGCCCAGCCACAAGACCCCATCGCTAAAGGAAAAAAAAAAAAGAGCCATATAGTTTTGTCAGAGCTGTCCGACACATTAACCCCAGCACAGAATCTAGTTATGGTGCTCAGGCACAGTGGCTCACACCTGTAATCCTAGCACTTTGGGAGGCTGAGACGGGCAGATGGCTTGAGCCCGGGAGTTCGAGACCAGCCTGGACAAGATGGTGAAATCCTGTCACTACAAAAAATACAAAAAAAAAAAAAAAAAATTGCCAGGCACAGTGGCATGCACCTGTAGTCCCACCTACTCAGAAGGCTGAGGTGAGAGGATTGCTTGAGCCTGGGAGGTTGAGGCTGCAGTGAGCCGAGATCGCACCACTGCACTCCAGCCTGGGTGACAGAGTGAGAAAAAAAAAAAAAAAATCCAGTACTGGTGAGCAGTGCTCACATAGATGTCCTGCAGGCATTGATGTCTGGCAGACAGCAGAAGAGCCTCCAATCTGCTTCCTGAGTGGGGCACGGCCAGGCAGGGCCAGTGTAGGAGTCTTCATGGCTGTGGTAGCTCAGGACCTCACCCCATCCTCCCCTCCGCAGGGCTCGGCGCCTTCCCTGCAGGTGCCTTTCCGGGGGCTCTGGTGCCTGGCGGAGTGGCTGATGCTGCTGCAGCTTACAAAGCTGCCAAGGCTGGTGAGTGGTGCTCTTTGGGGCATGCCACAAGCCCTCTGGCTGCCATGGGGCCCCTCCGCTTTGCAAAGAACCCCCTCAACTCAGACCTGGGAACTGGGTGGGTGGGATTGTTAGCTGCAATCTACTGGGGCTCAGGGAGGCAGCTAGCTGTGCCCAGTCTGCAGGTGAGTTAGTAACAGGGCCAGACCTCAATGCCAGGCCCTCAGCATGCAGCCCCGGGCCCTTCTGCCTCCCCACTGTTCCTTGTGCAATGCCTCACCTATCCTGGCTCTGCAGGCACTGGGCTCGGTGGTGTCCCAGGAGTTGGTGGCATTGGTGGTGTTGGCGGTGTTGGTGGCTTAGGAGTGTCTACAGGTACGATGGCTGTCCCCGAACTCCCTGGGTCAAGCTTGCAGACCTGTGTGGAGCCAACTCTGATGTGGCCCCTTCTGTACCAGGTGCGGTGGTTCCTCAGCCTGGAGCCGGAGTGAAGCCTGGGAAAGTGCCGGGTCAGTGCGGAGTCCCTGGGGCTGGAGGACAGAGGGCAGGGAGGGGCAGAGGGCAGGGAGGGGCGGGCAGGGCCTGGCTTCAGTCGGGCAGAGAAACTAGCCAGGCCCAAAGTGTGGTGCCTGCGTCTGTGAAATGGGGAGGAGGGGCCTGGCCTACTTCCTGGGCCCTTCTCCCAGGATCCTGGGGTAGAAAGAGACGGGCTCTGTGGCAGGCTGTCGGGCGACAGATGGGGAAACTGAGGCTCAAAGAGGCGAGTCAGTGTGGAAGGGCTTGCAGCAAGTCCTGACAGAGCTAGGGGAGCCCCGTGTCCTCTGACTCCCCATCTGGTACTCGTTCTGCCGAACCAAGCCCTTTAGGAAGTGACTTCAGGTTAAACAAAAGACTGCCTGAGTCTACACAGCAGGGAGGGACATCTGGAAGCTGTTAGCCAGAGGTGGGCTGGCCCAGCCATGTAAACAGGCTCCAGGAGACAGAGATAAATCCACACACCGAAGAGTTTGCAGATGACTTCCGAAACTCGTGGGAGGAGGGTTGTGGCCACCCCACGTCTGTCCCTGGCTGCCCCTGTCGGGCAAGGGGCTGTGGGTTTGAGGGCCTTGGAGCTGCCTGGGTGGGGAGGGCCGGGGAGGGAATCCCTGGAGGCTGAGCTACTGCTCATAACTTTGCTTTCTTTTGGCCACAGGTGTGGGGCTGCCAGGTGTATACCCAGGTGGAGTGCTCCCAGGCACAGGTGAGGGCAAGGAGGGGAACAGGGACTGTATAGGAAGAAAGCAGCCAGGACTCAGTGGCTCACGCCTGTAATCCCGTTGCTTTGGGAGACTGAGGCGGGAGGATGGCTTGAAGCCAGGAGTTTGAGACCAGTCTGGGCAACATAGTAAGACCCTGGTCTCTACAAAATAATTTAGCCAGGCATGGTGGTGTGCACCTGTAGTCCCAGCTACTCGGGAGGCTGAGGTGGGAGGATTGCTTGAGCCCAGGAGGTCCAGGCTGCATTGAGCTATGATGGCTCCACTGCACTGCAGCCCGGGTGACAGGGCAAGACCCTGTCTCAAAACAAAGAAAAAGAAAAAGAAACAGAAAAGCAGCCCCCTCAACCTCCCTAGTACTCCCCTCGCCTCCCTGAAAAGCAGAGGCCACCAGAAGCCCTGGGTCCTGACCTGAGCCATTTCCCCAAACACCAAAGCTCAGGCTAACAGACATAAGGTCCCTGGCAGTCCGTCCATCCCCTAAAGGTCAATCATCCTTCCTGCACCCCACCCAAGTCCTGATCCCAGGCACAGATCATCATCACAGCCCGAGGCGGGCCCCCAAGGACAGACCCCAGAGTGACCAGCTGTTTCCCAAAAGCTGTGAGTCACCAGGGGGCCACCCAATGAGTCTGCCCTGCAGGAGATCCTAAAGAGCTGCCCCTCACCCTCCTTTCCCCTGCCAGGGCCTGACCACCTCACCCAACATGTGACCTCCTGAATTCCCCCAAAAGCCCAGATTTAGGCTGTTCTGTGGGATTTGCTGACAGAGTGGCCCTTCCTCCCTCTCTCCTCTGCTACGCCGAGAGCCAAGGCTGCCCAGCCCCAGGGGAGACGGGAGAGGTGGAAGACGCTGGCATGGTCCCAGCTGTAGCTGGATGGCTGCTTTGGGGGCCTGGGTTGTGAACGAGAGCCCCAGAGAGCATGGGCCTCCCTGGTCTACGGGCGAGTGGCACCACCCAGCCGCTGTCCCTCTCTTTACCCTTTTTGCGGAGGGTGGTCGGGACGGCTTTTGTGATTAACTCCAGCATAGAGATGAGGCTGACTGAGGCACAAGCTCACATGGCTGGGAAATAGGATTAAAACTCAGATCTTCTGACCTTGAGCCAGACAGGGAAGGAAAGTCAGCACTAAACAGGTCCTTTCTCCACCCACCCCGTGAGCCGTGCCTGTCACTGACAGTCGGTCCCAAGGGAGGTCAGCTGGGGGACCTGAGGAGGGGAGGGGTTCCCAGCAGGGCCTGCAAGGCCTGCCTTCCTATGCTCACTGCTTTGTCCCCCGGCAGGAGCTCGGTTCCCCGGTGTGGGGGTGCTCCCTGGAGTTCCCACCGGAGCAGGAGTTAAGCCCAAGGCTCCAGGTATGCAGCTGTCTGGACAGAGAGCTGATGGTGGGGACTCTCCCACCACCTTCTGGCCCTGCGTGTGAAATGGGGTGGGATCCTGGACTGGCTCAGGGCCCTCTGGGTGACACCTTTTAGGTTCCAGCCCTGGGCAGCCTAGTGCTGAGAAACACCAGACTGTGGCTGGGCGCACTAGCTCACACCTGTAATCCCAGTGTTTTGGGAGGGTGAGCTGGGAGGATCGCTTGGGCCCAGGAGTTCAAGACCAGCCTGGGCAACATAGCAAGACCTTATCTCTACAAAAACATGATTAAAAAATTAGCCAGATGTGGTCACACACACCTGCGGTCCCAACTACTCAGGAGGCTGAGACAGGAGGATCTCTTGAGCCCAGGAGATCAAGTTTGTCGTGAACTATGATCACACCACTACACTCCAGCCTGGGCAACAGAAAGAGACCCTGTTCCCCACTCAAAAAAAAAAAAAAGAAAGAAAAGAGGGCCAGATGCAGTGGCTCATGCCTGTAATCCCAGCACTTTGGGAGGCCGAGGTGGGCGGATCACTTGAGGTCAGAAGTTCGAGAGCAGCCTGGCCAATATGGTGAAACCTCATCACTACTAAAAATACAAAAATTAGCCAGATGTGGTGGCGGGCACCTGTAGTCCCAGCTACTTGGGAGCTGAGGCAGGAGAATCGCTCGAACCTGGGAGGCAGAGGTTGCAGTGAGCCGAGATCATGCCCCTGCACTCCAGCCTGGGCAATAGAGAGACCCTGTTCCCAAACAAAACAAAACAAAACAAAACAAATAAGAAAAAGAAAAGAAAACCAGGTGCGGTGGCTCATGCCTGTAATCCCAGCATTTTGGGAGGCCAAGTCAGGCAGATCACATGAGGTCAGAAGTTCAAGAGCAGTCTGGCCAACATGGTAAAACCTCGTCTCTACTAAAAATACAAAAATTAGCCAAGTGTCGTGGTGCATGTCTGTAATCTCAGCTACTCAGGTAGCTGAGGCAGGAGAATTGCTTGAACCTGGGAGGCGGAGACTGCAGTGAGCCGAGATCATGCCACTGCACTCCAGCCTGGGCAACAGAACAAGACTCCG